TGTTCTCTATCTCTATTAATTTGGTCTTGAATGTTTTTATCGATTGTTTTATTATTACGCAATCTAAATTCTAAATCAATCCATGAACTCATATTAATAATATGTTGGTTAGTTGTTTCATGAGTTCTAAGCTTAGTAGTAAGATTTTTTCCAGTCTCTACTACCTTCATTAGCAACTTATTATTCTTTGCATTAAAGGACGTATAAAATAACTTACAACAAAAACAACATACCTTATTCAAATCTTTGGAATAAATTAACCATCTTCTTTTATGTATTTCTCCATTTGCCAACTTTTGAAAATAATATGTAGTAGAAAAGTGTCTTACAAATTTATCTTTTGAAAAACATGTGTTGGTAATTCTAATTGGTCCCTTTTCTACTAAGTCTCTTAACTTTGTATCAACAATATTCCATTGACTAGGATCATAGATATTTTTAGAAGTATGGTTATTTAATTCATTTATAAGTTCTTAATTTTCTTGGGAATCTACATATGACTTTTCACTTATTTCCTCTCTTCTTCTTTTTGATTTATATCATTATCTAACTCAACTTCAACTAAGTTAGTGACTTGTTCTTCTAAAGAGCATTTCCCTACCTTTTTTTATTTAATCTTAACATTGTTTTCCAAAAAATTATCAAGAGCACCTTTTTGAGATTTTATCAAGTTATTGACTTTTCTTTTTCTTTTAATATTTGAATGACCGAATTCATATTTTCTAGTTGACATATTAGATCTAACAAATATTTTAAACACTATTTACAATATCAAATAAAAAATGTAATAAACATAAGACACAAAACAAAAGTAATATTAGAAATTAAAATGATATTACCGGATTCAAGAACTATGAAGACTTGATTTCCGAAAATGAATTGGGCTGCTGCAATATATTTTTCTCCAAATTTTAAACATAAACTATATTTTTTAAAATTGAAATTATCAATAGAATAAGTAAATTCTTCAACTTTAAATAAGAGAGATGTAAGATTAGAAAAGAGAAAGAGAGAAGAAATAGAAGAGAGGAAGAGAAGGATATATATATAAAAATAAAATTAGAAAAAGAATATGGTAAAAAAAAATAATAACTTGTACAATTAAAAAAAAGTACACATTGAAAAGGTAAAAAGTAAGAGTCATATCAAATCACCTCATAATGCCGTTTGGATTTGGAGTCTTAGTCCTAATTTTTTTTTTTTAGTTTAATCCTACCTAATAAACTAAAAAATGGGGGGCCCTAAAATTGGGGGCCTAAGGTCAAAGTCTTTTTTCAACCCTTACCAACCGCCCCTGGCTGCATCTAACCATACAAGGCCATATATGCGCTTATGTGTGGTGTATTTTCAGTACAAGTCTCTTGATTTGGGGTGTATTTACGCATTCAGTCAGCATACATTATCCATAATTTTGCTATGTTTTGAGTATAAGTTCATGTAAATCCATTTGTTTTACATATAACTAATGTGGTGATGTCATATATATGATTAGATTGATTTCAGGCTAGAAGTAACAACATTTGACCCGAAAGATGGGTTGGAACTCGAAGCAAATCATCCAGGACAGAAATGTAGCAAAGACTGGCTGATGAAGGGGCTTTGGCCTCTGTGGTACGAGGCATACACCATGCGTCGGTCGCCACGCCCCACCTGTTGAGAAACCTGTTTATGTGGTAGAATTCTTTTGGATTTGCGACACACTGGAAAGTAGATGGACCTCACAAACCTTCTACTTTGTGATGGAGGTTGTGTCGCACCCCTGTCTTATGTAGAATTAGAGTTGGTAAAGACAGAGCAGATTCTTCTTGTGATTCAAATTTTCTTTCTATATTAATTATTGATAGATTACAAGGATGACATTTTAGGGTTACAAAGTAGAGTTATGTCACGACCCAAAACTCGAACTATCATGACACCTACAATAACCCTCTAGTAGGTACGCAAAAATCCAAACTATAGCGAAAGATAAACACTAAACAAGAGATAAGCGGAAGCAGAAGAGATAAATGAACCAACATGAATAAATATATACATAAAAGATACAAAATATACAACATGAACATTTATGAACAAGAAAAAATATACATATACAGAAGATACCAACCTAACCAGATGTCACATGTTTAAGAGCTACCAGCATTACGAGAATAAGGTTGTACAATACATAAATTTCAGATAATATACAAAATATACACAGTAAATACAAGATGGAAAGTAGTAACGTAACCCTCTATATGCCAAGACACTATTAAAAAGGACTTAAAAATAATGTGCAAATTTAAATAAGAGGGATTGCATCATTTACTGGGATTGTACCACAAAACATGTGAAGATGAGTATCAATGGAATGCATGCTTCACCATCATCCAAATAATAACATCTAAGCAACCAAATGTACTTAACCAAAATAACTATGTTCCTAGAGCATAGAAAACTAACTTGGAACCCAACTAGTCCTTGACCAAGGCCTTGGGCCCAACAATTTTCAAACATACACAACAATATTATCATAACATGATCACCATAACTTAGGAAATGAAGAATATTATAAAGAATCGACAACAGGAAGAGTAACTCACGGATCTCAGTACCACTCAAGTGAAAACCTAGTGCAGTTAATGCCAACCTACGGCTATGAGAAAGTAACAAAGGTTACAAAACCTAATATAAGATAGAGATTCATTAAACTTATTCTGAAGCGCCAAATATCAACTCCAAATAGGATGACAACACCAAACTAAGCCACATGTAAGGAATTAATGATAATCGCTCAACCATGTCCCATTTTTAAGGGCATAGGCGGTTGTATGCAAAACAATACCAAACTTAAAAAGTAGGGGTCAAATCACAAGTATTAAAGGAGATGGAATTTCCTTTAATTGATTTCAGAATTTAATAAAAGATTAACAAATTGAATTATCAACACACATATATATAAAATAAGGGGGGCATTTAGTATCAACTAACATTCGTCAATATCAAGTAACAAAATAAGGAATCAATGCAAATTTGATCTACCAAGTTTGAAAATTTAATGACGCTTCATGTCATTTCTCTGTTTTATGATTTTTTTTTCAGCGTTTAGAGATTTTCTATAGACAGTTCAGTTTTCTAGTCATTTGTTTAAGTTTTGTGCAATTTTAAGTGTTTTGGAGCTTCATAAGTTTGAATGATTGAATTTGATCAAAACATCATGTAGAAAGCCTAAAAATGGAATACTAAGGGTTTCGTTAGCTCCAAATTGTCAAGTTTTTTTCTAGAAGGAACTTTGGTGTGGGTACTGAGGCTTTTTCTCCCCATGGAAGTTTGCTTAAAACGGAGCTTGGGTGTGGGACCCACCTTTTATTGAGACAACCTAAGTTGGAAGATTGTGTTAGCCTCCCAAGCATTCAAGGATTTCGATTAATAGCAATAAATCTACCTTCAAGTGCAGAACTAGACGAAGTCCAATTGAATCCATCAGGATTCAATCAAGCGAAAATGGAATCACAAGGAAGGATCAATCAAGTGAAAAGGGAATCACAATGAAGGAAAGCAGAAGATACTCTATATCCTCAAATATCTCTTGATTGACAGAACTCCACGAATCAAGGAACATTGATGAAGACAAAGTTGGATCTCCAGACATCAAGGAAGACAGAGCAGGAAAGACGTAAAAGGTATAATCTCTTTGATAGGTGGTGGGTCTTGCTTAAAATCAAGTCTTGAACCCTATGAGTGATGCATCTTGATTTCACTAGAGATAGGAGATGATTTGATGTTAGAATCTTGTAGAAATTCTTAGATTTATGTTGTAAGAGACCTCTAGGGGGCCACCAAAGAGTGAAAAGGGAGAAAAAAAACCTTAAATAGCGTTTTTATGAAATTATGGAAATATTGATATACAGACCATATACCTGATATACGGACCTTAAAATGGACAGAAAATTTATCTGTCCCAATGCCTAGTCATTGCTTTAGACTTACAGTCCGTATGTGGCCATGTACGGGCCGTAAAATCTACCAACTCTTCTTTCTCCCGATTTGGATTGACAACGGTTGGATGCGTAGTAAACTAGACTCAAAGGACTATAATTTGATAGGTTATGTCTAATTTCAAATTGCATATATTATACAAGAATTCTTACAGAAGATTTAAATTAAAATTCTTGGAACTATTCAAACCATAGTCTGATAGTTCGAGATGTTACAAATGAAGAGTAGATATCAGACTTTAAGGGTCAAATAAATTGCAGAAACTTACATGGAAAATAAAAAGGAACACACAGTCATCCAAAGACTGAGGACAGACCCGGGTAGTTTCTCATTAATGCTTTTAGCTTTTTGATGTTACATATGTAGATTTCATTCTGGGCAAAAAGTTATTCAGTACTCAAACAAAACCTGAATGGGTCGATAATCTCATTTTGCACGTCTAGTAAAATTTGATCTGCAAAAAAGAAATAAATTTTAGAGCAATCTTTTGCAATGCATTTGAGTCATTATTGAGCAGCAATTGAATTACTTGTTCCTATATGTCAGTCTGTGCATAAAATTACTTCAGAAACGAGTAATTATTCATATTTCAAGGACTACATAAACGAAGTAAGAAAAAAAATGTTCCAATAGAAAAATCCAAATGGAATATTGGGAAAAAAAACCACATGTATTCTTAATAATTGAATATATCCCCCATTATAAAGAGTAAATTTTGGAAAAGACTCTTGTTGCATGCATGATTATCATGCCCAACAAAGAAATTTTCTTACGAACCAACTCCACGGATGTAAGGTCACGCAAACCAGAGAGACTCAGAGATATGTGATTGCTCCTTTCTTTAAAGGAATATAGACATTCCTTGTATGATGAAGAATTTGAAGAACAACAGTTGGTTTCAAGTGGAAGTGCAAAATGATAAAAGGTAAGGCACAGAATCCGATTCATTGATAAAATAATCATTCAAAAACTGAAAGAGAAACAGAGGCTTACACAAGTTCTGAATGGTCGTGAACCCCATCATGTTAATTACTCGAAGATGAGAAATCTTGAACCACTGACAGTTTGGTGCAACTTTCTTTTAACTGTGGGCAGCCTTCAATTTGCAGGCTCCATAATTTGGTGAGGCGTTGCATGACATCTCTGGATGGCAGATGCTTTAGTTTTTCGCAATTTGATAAAGTTAACACTTCCAAAGAAATAAGGTTGACGATTCCATCCATCAGAGCTTCTAACAATGGACAATCATCTATCCACAAATACCGCAATTTGGGCATGACATGTAACAAGTCCACATGTTGTAGCCGTTTGCAGCTCCTTAGCTCTAATGTTTCAAGAGAAGTAAGATTTCCAAGTGTATGAGGAATAGCCTTGATTCCAAAGTCATATATTCGAATATGAGTTAGGAAAGAGAGTTGCATAAGCTGATAGGGCAGAGAATCCCAGTGCAAACGTCTGTACACATACAATCTACGAAAGGACAACAGCTGCTGAATGCCATTAAATATCAATTGGAATGCCTCAAAATCCACCATCTCTGAGAAAGGACCAATACACAATGCCCTTAACCCGGTGAGACGGTGAAGTCCCCCTGCAGGTACACTTATCAATTTTGGACATTCTGATATATCCAAATCTGAAAGTGAAGGCATTTCCCACACATGTAAAGGAAAGGAAACTAAGTTGTTACAGTAGCTGACCAACAAGGTCTCCAGAGACCGACAATGCTCTATCATTCCACTTGGTAAAATGGTCAGTTCATCACAACAAAATAACTGAAGACTTTGAAGGGAAGTCAAATAATTCTCTCCACTTGGAACAGGAAAGGAACTGAAATTGGTGCAGAAGGATATTTCTAAGCTCTTAAGAGAATGGAGATTGTACAAGCTTTGTGGAAATTCACGAAACTCTCCACAGTCGGAGACTGACAGGAATTGAAGAGAAACATTGTTGCGTAGAATTTCATCTGGAAGACAAGTGAGCTCTTTCACATCACTGAGATCAAGTTTTACTAGAGATGTCAAGTTGCTGCACAAGTTCAACAATGGCACTCCACTGTCAACTCCTTCAATTATTAATTCACGTAGGATTTCAAATTGATTTGGAGTACTTTTTAGCAATGGACACTTTGTAATCCTCAACTTCTCAAGCCCAAGGAACATTCTTACTCCAATTACTTCATCTCTACCACCATTTGTTGTTGGTATCAATTCCACTCCCTTCCACTCAATAAGGCTAGGCATATCCTCCAATACTAGTTCTTTCAATGACGGGAACACTTGGATATTTCCATTATTGTTACCATCAATCGCATAAAATGTAGTTCCAATACACTCCACCTTATGGAACCCTACCAGCTCAAGATGCCGAAGGAATTTCAGTTGGCCAAGCAATGGAATTTTTCTGCACCTTTTGCAATCAATTAACTTTAACTTGACTAAATTTGGTAGAAATTCTTCATTGAACCATGAAGGAAATTTAGTCCCTAAATACTCCTCCACTTCTAAGGTTTTCAAGTTCGGATGCGGTTGAAGGCCATCCAACACATGCTCATCATTAGTCTCACATCCTTCTGGTTCATCATGGGACCATAAATATGCCAGTTTGTAGATGTTTGGTTTCTCCTGTAGATATGTTGTTTGAGCTTCTTCCTTATTACCAACTAATTGGAGACCTCTGATTGTCAATTCACCTCTAAGGTTTTCCAAACAACCTAATTCTACTAATCGACGACCTTGCTCTATACCCACCTCGAAATACTGTAGGGTCTGAAGACAAGTCAATTTCCCCATGTTAAATGGCATCCGAAAATGCTTATTATGAAGAGGTTTGCTATATATATGTCTCAAACTTATCATATTTCCCATCTCATCTGGAAGTTCCTCAAGATAATAACAGTTATTGACTCGTAACGTTTGCAAATTGTAGAGCTTGCATATGGAGTCAGGCAAAGCTTTGATATTAGTGTCAGAGAGATAAAGATATCTCAAATGTATTAGCTTGCCAACTGAAACTGTCAACTCCCACATACCTGACTTGGACAAATTTAAAACTCTCAAGAACTTAAAACTCAATAACACATCTTCAGGTACAGAATTGCATCTCCAGAACAATGTGTACAAACGTCCTGGCTCATTTATCTTATCTATTTGATCCCTTGGTGAGTCCCATCCAAAGTATCGCACTTGAGACAGATTTTCTCCTTTGACGCTCTTTTGATCAAATAATTTAGATTTTAAAATATCTCCAGCCAAATCATGCACAAGATCATGCATCTTACAGTGTGTTATATTACTGTGCTCATCTAGCTTCACATCTTGCAGCAAGGAATATTGCAACAAAAGTTGAAAAAACTTATTCCCAACATCTTCCATTAGAACGGCATCTTGAAATGGACAAAGATATCCTTCTGCCATCCAGAGTTGGATAAGTTGGTCCTTTTCAAACTCAAAATCTTTTGGAAACATTGCAAAGTAAGCAAAACATTTTTTCAGGTGTGGAGATGGTAGATAATTAAAGCTGAGTTTTAGGATTTTCTTTAAGCTATTTTCTCCATTGTCATCTTGATCAAGTGGAACAAGGGGATTGCCATCAAGAATTGCCTGCCATTCATGTTTTTTCTTGTTGCGTAGGAGGCCTCCTAACACACTTGCAGCCAAAGGTAGACCTTGGCACATTTCACCAATCCTTTTCTCCATACTCATTATTTCCTCTGGAACTTCTCCATCAACAAATGCTTTTTGTTTGAAAATTGACCAGCAATGTTGTTCTGTTAATTTTTCCAACATATGAGGTCCTACTACTACTGCAGACGCCACCAGTTCCATACGGGTAGTCACAAGAATGCAGTTTCCTCGAGATGTATTTATTCCTCGCAAGGTGTCCACAAACTCATGCCACAGTGTTGGGTCAACACGCCACAAATCATCCAGGACAAGCAAATACTTTCTTCCTGTCAGTTCATCTCGGAGTTTCTTGACTATTATATCTCTGCTCTGGACCTCAAGTTTCCTCTCTGTCAATGATTCGAGGATCAGTTCAAGAAAGCTCTTCATTTCGGACATTTCAGGTAGACACAACCAAACTCTCTTTTCAAAGTGTTTCTCGATCTGTTCATCATTAAAAATTCTTTTAGCCACTGTTGTTTTCCCTAAACCCCCCATACCTACTATGGGAATGGTGCACAGAACAACATCCTCTCTCATTTTCAAAATCTTCTCCTTTATATCAGAAACATCCTTATCTCTACCAACAACATCCGAAATAATTACTAAGGAATCTGTTTCTCGAATTTGTAGTATTTGCGGAGAAGGAACTATCAGTGATTGGATACCCAGGTGTTTGGCTAACTTATTGATAGCCATCAACTCTTGAGTGACGTTGTTGATTTTTCGAGACATTTTGCACTTAAAAGAAGTATGAGAAAAGAAGTCACGGACCTTTTTCACTGGGCTGTTTCTGATCTTCATCACTTTTGTTTTGAGAGATTCATATCTTAATTGATCAAACACATTTTCAGCATTTTCAGCAACTCTCTCAAGCCTCATGAGCCATTGTTCCACAACCTGTTTCTCAACTTGTGGTCTTTCAACGTCATGAATGAAAGCTTGGATCAAGGATACATTTTGTATCAGCATTTCCAGATCATTGTTGAAGTTCCTTAAGCTTTTGAGCTCCTCGATAATTAGAGAAAGCAACTTCTCAAGCACAACTTGAAGAGTAGCTCCAATTACAGGATCGGCCATCGTTGCTATGATCCTTCACAAAGTCGTCTTCTTGTTCCTCTACACCAAAGTTCTTGATAAGTCTTCTTTTGCTAGTATTTGTTTATGGACCACTAGAAGCAAGATAGACAACAACTTGAATAAAGAATCCCTTTTGTAGATTAACAGCTAATAATCCTTTATATAAATATATTTTAGGTGGTGGTTGTGTTTTTTTTTATATTATTATTATTATTATTATTCTAATGAACGGCAGTCACTTTCCAATTAGTAGTTGACATATATTGGGTTTGTTTTTCTCTTGATATATGCAGTTTAGAACCGTTTATCTATTACTATTATCTATTCCCATTCTCATTACTGATGTTCCGAATAGAATTATTTGGAAATAAGTATGAGGTTAAATCTGAATAATATGTGGATCATGATCCCATACAATTCCCAAGTTTACATGCAAATAGAGATATCTTTATTCTGAATAAAGTTGGATGTCTTTGGGTATGAGGTTAAATCTGAATAATGCTGGATATCTTTGAGTATGATGTTAAAAGTTGGATATCTTTATTCCCAAGTAAATATTTATACAATTTTCCAAATTTACATGCAAAATTTTGCCCAATACATAGTATTATATGTATGAGCGCCTCAATGTGGACTTTTTCTTCATTCTTAGATGGAATTAATTGGGACAAAACAAAGTCAAGCAATAACTTGGCTTCAAACTGGAGGTCTTGTCTAGATATCTCACCACCCAATGTGTCCCATGTTGGATGACCAAACGCAATGACTTCAGCCACCCATTGGAGTTGGTGGCTCTTCGTACCGATCTTCTCCGTAGACATTGTCCATAGAGCATGTTGCGAATCTTGTCATACAATCACGGATTATTGATAGCTCCAGGCGTGTAAGTCATTGTTCTTATGATATTTCACTGGTATAATATATCACTACAACAAAAACATCTTTTAGCGGTAATAAATATGCACATTAAGAGTGTTAAAGTTTTTACCAACATTAATTAATTGTCATTGGATCCATTGACATATATAAAGAGTGTTAATTGCCGCTAAAAGTACATATTTAGTGGTAATTAAGTTATTACTGTTAATTAATTACTGCTAAAGATCATTTTTGAGGTAGTGTATCCCTTAGGATTCAACAAGTTCTTTTAGAATAATCTAGGAAAATGAACAACAAAAAATTTATAACAAAAATACCCAAGAAATATAAAAGAGGTATGAAGAAATTGTTGATGTGTTTTTCTCGTTCTCCACTATCAGCAATGGTGAAGTATATATAGTAAAAGGAAAGAGTATCAAAACTCCATCTGCCAACATTCCAAAAAGTAATAAAGAAATGGAAGATAAATGTCATAAAGTCAATGATGGTTATATTAAAAAGAAGAATTGGAACGTTGGTCAACAGTACTATTTTGGTCATTAAGAAGAATTAGAACGTTAGGCAACACCACTATTTTGACCAAAAATAATACACCTTTTTGAATAATTTTCTGCCAATAATTGTTTTTCCTAACAATCCCCCGGTTGTCTCAAAAAGAAGATGCATAAAAATTAAGACATTTTTTTTGGGTTTTCAAAGTGAGAATAATGCGTCGAATCTGGTGTCTCTTGGACCTAGATAAATTAAGATTAAACTTACAGAATCGTTGGTGAAGTTTAGATTTTCTATGAATCAAGCTTTTATAAGTTCAACGTCTTATCTATCACATTGTGCCTCCAGACACTTTGTTATTCATTGCGGTTTTGCGCCACTAAGTCATGTGTGTGCCAAGTATTCATGAGTGCACTAGAAATTTGTCACAACTTCATAGGAGCAGCCCCACTCCACACTCGTATAGATCCATTTATCAAATGTATTTTACAGAGAAATACACCACCTATAAAGGATATGAATTGCATTAAGATTTTAATCAACCTCACTTTGTATTGCACTATGTTCACACACCATAGGAAGGGACATATTTTATAGTGCACCGTTTAATCAACTAATGACTTGTTATTACCCATATGAACACTACTAGAAGTTTGACCTATTGCCACAGATATTTGGCAACACTTATACAACTGTTGCAATATATTATCTATTGCAACAGTTATGACTGTTGCAACATATCATGGGATCTAATAGAACAATAATTAAAGATAACCGTAGCATCATTCTTAAAACTGTCGCTACAGAGTGCCTATGGCAACATATTTTACAATCGTTGCACTTAAGGACTATGTGGTAACGGTTATTTTAGTGAAAAAAATTATTTTTAGCCAACCCGCGAATTTTATTCCCCAAAAAATTTATTTCCCTCCACTACTTTAGCTAAAGTGCCATTAATTTCATTTGGGCTAAAATTTCTAGTCTTCTTCCAAAAAGGGTTTCTGAAAAGCATCGGTCTTCTTCTTTAGCGTAACGATGAGTTGCGGCTAACGGCAATAGAATTCTTCGACAAGCTTAGGTCTTCTTCTTCAGAGTGAGATTCTTCGTTTTCTTCAATCTGGGCTTCTTCAGTTCATCTCCAGTGGTCTTATTCTCAACAAGAATCTTCGTCGACTGCAAGCTTTTGCATATATAGGTGTACTACTTTTAAGTTTCCTCTATCTACTCCATTATTTCTAAGTACCCATTGTCTCTAATTTGTTATGCACATACTATTTTGCATAATCTGAAACTCCATTGAAGGGTTTCTCAAAAGTAGTAAAGAATAACAAATGAGTTTGTCTGAAATTTATGTTATTTTTTCTAATTTAGGTCTGTGATGTAATCTATTTGTGGTTTATTGTTTGTATTTTAGATTTGGTGAAGATTTATGAACTCTCTGCGAAATTTCTTTAAGAAGTTGTTTCAATTTTATTAGCCAATACCCAATTGGTAGTTTATTTCGTTCTAATGCTTGTAGTATTTTTATTTGCATTTTGAGTGAACTGAAATGTACTATAAACTGATTTTCAAAGTTGTTGAAATACAATTTAAAGTGATTTTCTAGGTCTTTGAATGTGAACTGAAATCCCCTGTTAGACGAAAGTCTAAAGTTGTTGTTTTGAACTTTAATTTTTGCAGATGTCTTGCTACAACAAATACGTATGTGAGTTCCATAGTGATTTTTATCATTTTTCTCTTTTGATTCGTCGATATCGTATCCCTTTTTCAGATGTGAAAACCCAACACTAGATTTGAGAATTTTCATTATTCTAGTTGTTGTATCTTTAAGCTTAGAAAATGTAATTTTGTAGTCCCTCTTTTGATAACCACTGGTTGTTATTGTTTCTTTGTTCGATTTCTATCTTTCTTGTTCTGATTTAGAAATTGGGTTAGTGTCGATTGTCTATATTTACAATTTTCCTAGTGTGACTTGCTAACTATACGATATATCTATAGAAAACGCAGTCAAGTTCTCTATATAGTCAGCAAAAATATCATTATTGATTGTAAGTAGAAGATTTCATTTAACTGATGTCCAATCTAAGTAAATCAATAGGTGAAAACTCAATTTTATTGTATTTTTTATGGTGAAATTTGTGGCTAGCTTTTATTTATTAAATTTCTGAGTTCACCCTTGATACAGATGAGACATCAAATTGCCGAAATTTAGAAATAAGGCACCTAATACTTCTAAGTAAGAAATGATTGAATCTATAATTGACAATCTCTAGCCCTCTTAGAGCTTCTTATTATTACTATTCTTTCTTTTACTTCTTTCTATATTTATGTAAGGACTAAACTAGTATATATATTTATGTGCTGAAAATTTAGAGAGATTTTGCCTTGAGTTTGTGAAAGAACTATTTGTCATTGAAAAATGATTTAAGCTGTTAACTTTCTTGGCCCATAAATGACCTTGTTATAGATCAATCACAAATGATTCTTCAATAATACAACAAATTCATGTACTAACTTCACTGTTAAGTTTTCCAATTTTGTCAAATTAAAGGTAGATGGCAAAAACATAGTTGAAATGACGGTTCTTGTTGAGATACTCTAAATTATTTGTTTAACATTTTATATTTAGGGATCTTTTGAGAGTTTGATGCTAAACCTTTGAATTTCAAATCTGTTTTTTTGTAAAGTGATTAGGAAATTCTAACTTTGTACTTGCAAGTCCTCGTGATGTATTAATTTTTATCTTATAGATTTTGATTTACCTTATCCACCTACAAGTGACTCATGTCATTTGGATGCCCATTAACATGGAAAATTTTGTTGTATAAAGATAGTAGACTGAGTTTTGTAGTTGATGTGGGATCAGTTTATGAAAGAGGAAACTAGAACGAGCTGTTGAAGTTGAGCATTAGGAAAGATTATGAACAATCATTGACAAATAAAGTTAGGTATGGACAGTAGAAATAACTGTATTTGTTTTAATAAATCCAAAAAATATTGATTCCCTGTTGCATTAAATTTTCAGCTTGTGACCAAGTATGAATTTGTTAGGAAATGACTGGTGAACTGCTCTAATTTTAAGAAAATCAATCAGCATTCTGATTTTTTCAACAAAATACTAAAAAACTTGAATCCATGAATCATTTAACTATAGTAAATATCTACAACTTAAGTTCTCTGTAGAAAATCCTTTCAATTGGGGTTGTCTTTGTGTTGTGCTATTTAGATGTGATTGGTTTCATAATGAAGTTGATGAATATAGATTGACTCGGGTATACTTCAACAGAAAATGTAGCACAAATGATCCTTTTGTACTAGCATCTCAAGTCCATCAAGTTTTTTACATGGAGGACCCAATTGAGAAAAATGTTTATTATGCAAAAAATAAAGTTCCTATTGACTTGTATGATTTGGAGGAAGAGAATTGTCCTAATATTGAAGAAACATTTTGGAGGGAGGCTAATCATGATGACATTGGTTCATTAGAAAGATTACTCGATGTTGATGTTAGATGGTCAAGAGAAGATCTCCCTGTTATTATCATTGAAGTGTCTTCCCTTGCACAACATTCTGAAGATGTAGGTTGATGATAAAGTTGATGATACTGATTGGGAATTGGATGAAGGTTG